TTGGTTGGGTTGGTTGGTTGGGTTGGTTGGGTTGGGTTGCTTACACTGGTTGGTTGGGTTGGTTGGTTGGGTTGGTCGGGTTGGTTTGCTTGGCTTGCTTACACCTCTTGAGCCACCTTGTATCTCACCGACCGCCGCCCTCACCCACCCACCCACCCACCCCACCGCAGGACGAGCAGAGCACCCTGCAGCTCCTCAAGAAGCACCTCCTGACCGAGCAGACCATCGAGAACTACGAGGAGACCATCGCCCAGCTCTCCCGCCAGTGCCGCGCCCTCCTGGAGCTCGGCCACCCCCAGAGGTCCGCCCGGCCCCGCCCGCCCCCCGGCCCGCCGGCCGCCGCCGCGCCGCCGCCGCCGGGGCTGACGGGCGCCGTGTCCTTGCGCAGCGAGCAGGTGAGCCGGCGGCAGTCGCAGGTTGACCGCCTCTACGTGTCTCTGAAGGAGCTGCTGGAGGAGCGCAAGGTCCAGCTGGAGCAGCAGTACTGGCTCTACCAGCTCAACCGCGAGGTGGACGAGCTGGAGCACTGGATCGCTGAGAAGGAGCTGGTGGCCGGCTCGCCCGAGCTGGGCCAGGACTTCGAGCACGTCACGGTGAGCGCGGTGAGGGACGGGCGCCGCCGCGCTGGGCGACGCCCGCGGTGGAGGTCGTGCGGGGAGGTTCTGACGAGTGGTGTCGTCGTGAGGGTTCTGGAGAACTTCGTGGAGACATCTTGGTGGTTCTGGCACCTCCTTGGTGGTTCTGGCACCTCCTTGGTGATCTGGCACCATCCTGGTGCTCCTGAGACCATCCTGGTGGTCCTGACACCATCCTGGTGGTCCTGGCACCTCATTGGTGGTCCTGGCACCTCCTGGTGGTCCTGGCATCATCCTGGTGGTCCTGACACCATCCTGGTGGTCCTGGTATTATCCTGGGTGTTCTGGCATCTCCTGATGGCCCTGGCACCTCCTTGGTGGTCCTGGCACCTCCTGGTGCTCCTGACACCATCCTGGTGGTCCTGGCACCTCCTGGTGGTCCTGGCACCATCCTGGTGGCCCTGGAACCTCCTGGTGATCCTGAAACCATTCTGGTGGTCCTGGTATTATCCTGGTGGCCATGGCACCATCCTGGTGGTCCTGGCACTCCTTGGTGGTCCTGGTATTATCTTGGTGGCCCTGGCACCTCCTTGGTGGTCTTGGCACCATCCTGGTGTTCCTAGCATCATCCTGGTGCCCTGTCTGGCGGTCCTGCCACCATCCCTGCCCCATCCTGGTGCTCCTGTCACCATCCTGGTGGTGCTCCTGACACCATCCTGGTGGCCCTGGCACTTCCTGGTGCTCCTGGCACCTCCTGGTGATCTTGGCACCATCTTGGTGGTCCTGGCACCATCCTGGTGCTCCTGGCACCTCGTGGTGCTCCTGGCACCTCCTGGTGGTCCTGGACATCCCCTCTGTGCCCTGCATGGGGATCCTGGTGGCCCTGGCACCATCCTGGTGGCCCTGGCACCATCCTGGTGGTGATCCTGACACCATCCTGGTGG